ATAAACATCCAATTTTCATTTTTGGGTGAACTATCCCTTTAAGGTAGTATTATAGTTTTTGTTAATATTTTAGATTTTATTTGTATATTTTCTCATTTCATGTTAATTTTAGGTTAAATTTGATTAATTTTGAGTGTGTTTTTGTCATTTTCCCTTTTATTATACTAGTTTTTGTTTTTAAATATGTCTATGGTTTTTATTAATTTTATTTAAGTTTTAGTTGTTTGTCATGTTTTTTTTATTATTAAACAATTTATTATTATTATTATTTATTTTACTTTATTTTCAGTTAACCTTTTTTTTCAAGTAATGAAAATGTTTTTATGGTTTTAGTTTTAGTTAACTATAATCCTGTTTTGAACTAAATTTCTCAAGGATTAATTTTGTTTAAAGCTGAACGATAAAGAATTTTTGTGTCCATGTTGATTTTATATGGTTTTGAAAAACATGCTATTTTCAATAAAAATTCTGTTTAATTTGAATGAGTGTAATGTGGTGTAACCATTAATTAAAAAGTAATTGTCCTTACAATTTGAATATATGTGGATGAACACATCTTCATGATTATTTCCAAAAAGTATTTTAATATATATATATTTCAAAATAAAAAGCATTTTTAACCAACGTTCATAAATTATAAATTTATACATATCTTTTTTTAAGGAGTTGTACCACATGACTTACAGTCATGAGAAGGATTTTAGGGGTCGTCACTGATATCACCTCATATGTTGGTTTTTGTTTTTGATTTTTTTTTCTGTATACTGATTTGGTGGACAAAGGAGAGGTCACATTTACCACAGTTCTGCAAACTTTCACAGGTAAAGTCCAGTAATTGCTATAGGAATCCAACTTTTTGCATGATTGTGAAAGATTTCCCCCCAGATTTCGAAGTCACTGTAAAAAAAGTGTTCTTGTCATTGACTCATAATTATGTAGTAACGTGTCAAACAAACTCACTTTGGCAGCATCAGAAGGGTTGAACTGAAGCATGCCAGCATGCCGGCTGAAGATGAGGAGAGTCCGGATTACGAAAGGAGGTGGGATGGTCTGAATGTTCTCCATCTGAGGAAGTTCAATTTTCTGCAAGCTACAAGAGCAGGAAACCAGAGGGAACAGGAGGGATTTTAATCTATAGCAGTCTAATTATCGAACACAGAAGACAAAAACTACTCACATGACATTGAGGAGATCTTCCAGATCTACAGGTAAAAGTTAAGGAAATGATCAGTGTGATCATGATTCATTCTCACTGCTTCCTCTGCATCCCTTATTAATGTGTATCTGGACCGACCTGATTCCACAAGCACAAAAAATGAGCCAAACTCTCTAAATAAGGATACTGAAGGACTCGCAGACATTGGTCTCCAGGTCGTACAGAAAGCTGCACAGCTCTCGCGGATCAGACGTGAATCCTGATAACTGTGTGAAAGAGATTCAAATTAAAGTGGTCGTTCATATGAACGTCAAGCACTGACAGCAGTGTAACGTGCTCTATATGTCAAGCAATACTACTCCTGCATATGTTATTTCGGTTCTTTAAAATGTACTCTTTATATTCATGTTGGTTTCATATGGTTTTGTAAAACATTTATACCTTTTTGTCAACAAAATATTTAAAAAACAAATGAAAATCAGAAATGTTGCCCAGGCAACTAACTGAAATAAAGGTTTAAGTAGAAGTACCAACATTACTAAACCTAAAACTGAAATAAAAATACATAAATAGAAATATTTGAAAAAAAAATGAAAATG